TTTTGTGTTTATAACAATATATACTAATTTTTAAAGTATCAAATTGAATTTTTGTTCAATAAAAATCTTTCAAATGCGACTGTAGCTTTTTCCCCCAAAAAAAACTGTCTTCAAAATAAGGGTGCGTCTTATACACCGGTGCGTCTTATATTCCGAAAAATACGGTATATGTTTGTTTGTTTGTTATTAAGCACAAAGCTACACACAGGGCTATTTGTGCTTTGCCCACCACGGGTATCGAAACCCGGTTTCTAGCGTTGTAGGTCCGCAGACATACCGCTGTGCCACTGGGGGGCCGGTATGTGTTAAAAATAAATTCATCATATAGTAATCTGTTTTATTTTCTACAAACAGAATGAATTCTTGGCAGTTTCGGGACAACCATTGCTTACCGCATTAGACGAGGAATTAACGGAAGATCAGGTTTGTAAACCTTGCTATGTACGTGTATATATATATATTTATTTATATGCATGTGTGTGTGTGTGTGTGTGTACTCGCTTGCGCTTCTCTAATGCACTTCAAAATCCATTCCTTTGTAATTCACCTTTCTTTTTTCTTTTTTTGCTTTTGATTGTTGGTTTTAGAGCAAATCCACATTGGTTTTTTTGCTGCGTACACAGCGGGGACTCAACACCCGGATTTTAGCGTTGTAAGGCCGTAAACTTACCGCTGTCCCGCCTGGGGGACTCCTTTTTTTTTTTGCATTCCAATAAAATCAAATGCCACATTTTAAAACCGAAATACGTGTTCTCGTTGTTATCGGTTTTATTGTACAAAGCTCATCAAATGTTAATTGAATTTATATCTTCATCTAGAGCTGTCTTTTCATCGCTAGACTGGTAAGTTAACTTTGGAAATGATGAATGAACCAAACCAGTAAGCGAGGCGCGGAAAGCGGAATACAAACCGAAATTTATAATAATCGTAGATGTGGATTTTATAAAGAGAAGCAACACACACATAAGTAACATAATATCGGTAAATTATTTCGCAGTAATAATTAATTACATATGCCCCCCCCCCCCAGTGGTTTCGATACCCG